TCAGAGAGAGAGGGAGACACAGAATCTGAAGCAGGCTCCAGGCTCTGAGCTGTCAGCACAGAGCCCGATGTGAGGATCAAACTCACAAACTGCACGATCACGACTTGAGTCAAAGTCAGATGCTTAACTGACTGAGCCACCCAGGCGCCCCCACAAAATTTTTCTAATGGATCTTGTTTTCCTTTTGGCTTTGACTGCTAAGAAGCATTAACCCAAAATTTCACCTCTGCTTCTAGCAAACTTTGGGATGAATTTCTGTGTGTTTAAAGACTCATAGTTTCTTTGGCCTGCCTTTATTTACCTTCCACTCTGATTTCCTCATTTATGTTCTCCTCATGAACAACAGCACATAACTTTTATAAGTGGTCCCAAATCATTTTTCAAATAAGAAAATGGATAGCTAGCTAGCTGACCAGACAGACTGGCAGAAATTGTCTTTCTTTCTCTCTCTTTTTTTTTTTTTTTTTTTTATTAAAAAAATTTTTTTTTTCAACATTTATTTATTTTTGGGACAGAGAGAGACAGAGCATGAACGGGGTAGGGGCAGAGAGAGAGGGAGACACAGAATCGGAAACAGGCTCCAGGCTCTGAGCCATCAGCCCAGAGCCTGACGCGGGGCTCGAACTCACGGACCACGAGATCGTGACCTGGCTGAAGTCGGACGCTTAACCGACTGCGCCACCCAGGCGCCCCTCTCTCTCTTTTAATAAAAGTCAAGTCTTTTTGAACAGTTTAGACTTTGTGTCTAATATGTCTCAGGTTTTAAAAGGAATACAACTGTCCACACCTGTCCCTTTCTTCTGAGCAATTCATTTAACAAAAAACAGCATCTGATCAGTCCATGAAATGAAACGAGGTGATTGTTTAAAACGCAGGTTGTTTCCCGCAGCATTAATCTTTAGAACTCCCTTTTTTGTCTTTGCTATTCCTTACCAGCTCCTGGTCTGAGGAGCCTGCTGGGTGAGCTCTCAGAACAGAAGTTTCCCATCCATTAATATGGTCCCTTCCAGGTAGGGACAGGCCATCTCACTACTCCTCTATCACCTCCTCCTCATTTTAAGCCATGCTGTTTAGTACAGTGATTCTAACAGGAGAAGAAGGTACGTGCAGAGCCACACTGCCTGGGCCAAATCCCACCTCTGGTCACAAACTGTGTGGCTTTTGGCAAATTCCTGAGCTTCTCTGAGCCTCAGTTTGCTTATCCACACAATGGACATAATAATAGTAAGTGTAAATGGGAGCCCAAGTTTAAGTACTGGGAACACAGTTCCTGGCACAGATGAATGCTTGAGAAATGTTAGCTAGGTTTCTGTCTGCCAGTCACAGATATAAAACCCAACTTGAGTCTTCAGGTCTCTGAGACTCGATATCCACTCCTTTGGCTAATGAATTTTTTCAAAAGAAAACCATTTCTTGATTTCCCAAGTTAATTACAGTGGCTTCTTCAGACTCCTGTGGTTAGTCGTCCCTGCCGTGTTAGGCTACATCGTGTCATCAGCCTGCGTGAAGTACACACCCGTGGCTGGCCATGCCCTAGACTGGGACACAGACCTGGGCGGATGCAGGAAGAAAGCAAGTCAGGCATGTCTGGGTCCAAACCCCTGTCTCCACAGCCATTATCTGAGTGCTCTTGGGAGTTACTTAACTCTTCTCAGCTACTGCTTCTCCTCCTATAAAGTGGGAACATTAGTACCTGCCTTCCCTCCTATTTCTGTCTTGAGTAATGACTGAACCAAGATGGCTGAGGGCCCTGAAGGGACAGAGTGTGTATTGCCCAATGCCTGGCCCTGGCTGACATTCTCTCCCCTCTTCCTTGGCACTCAGCAGACATTTAAGGGGGCTTCTCTGTGCCAGGCACCGCATCTAATAGTGGGGGGTTCAGGGAAGAGTGAGATCGGCACAGTTTTTGCCCCCCTGGAGCTCACCATCTGCATTCCCGGTTCTTCTCTACTCGGGAACCTCTGGCCTCAGCACCATCCCTGCGTGGGTCTCCTACTGACCGGGCCTCGTTCATTTCCATCTTACAGGGGCCCCAAAGCAAACTTGGCTAAAGGATCAGGTTGTGGTTTTTTAGAAAGGATGAGATCCACTAGCACGGGGCACTTCTGCCAACTGGTCTTTCTAAGCAACAAACACACATTTGCTTCATAAATCAGCTCAACTGATTCACTGGAAGAAACATCACCGTCCCATGGTCAACTGGAACAGACAAGGGTGAAGAAAGGACAGCAGGATTGGGGCTCCTGGGTGGCTCAGTCGGTTGAGCATCCGACTTCAGCTCAGGTCATGATCTCGCGGTTCGTGGGTTTGAGCCCCACCTCGGGTTCTGCGCTGACAGCTCGGAGCCTGGAGCCTGCTTCAGATTCTGTGTCTCCCTCTCTCTCTACCCCTCCCCTACTTGTGCTCTGTCTCTCTCTATCAAAAATAAATAAAATGTAAAAAAAAAAAAAAAAGGGCAACAGGATGGAAGAAGGAAAAGCATTCTACAAAATTGATCAATATGTTTACCGTAGATTTATGAAACCCAGCTCTGTGACAAAACACAAAACCTCACTGACATGATGTAACAAAAGCAGCACAGAGTTTTGACACCACCACCACCACAACCCTTGTGGAAGCCAGCCTTCAAGTTGGCGCCCATTGAGCCTTGCCCTCTGCTATTCACACC